TTTTAATAACTTATTTTTAGAAGAGAAGGCTATTTTGCTACTAGATAGAGTATTATATAATTATTATATTAAATTAGACGACGCTATACTTATCCCCTAGGGACCTATTTATTTATTATTAAATTATAAGCTCGAGATCTTATGAGATTATTTAATAAAAGTAGAGGCTAAGGGCTAGATATACTTTTTTATAAACCTAGCTAGAGTACTTATTTTTTTTATACTTAAAAAAAGAGGGGAGCTATAACTTTATATTAATTATAGAGCGATTAATAAGATTATATAAAAAGATAGAATGCCGCTACTACTAATTAGAGAGATATTAAATAAACTATTTAATACTTTTATTTTTATAAAGCTAGACTTTAAAAACGCGTATTATTATATATATATAGCTAAGGGCAATAAGCAGAAAATAGCTTTTTATATTAGATATAGGTAGTTTAAGTACTTAGTTATATTTTTTAGGCTAACTAACGCGCCTATGACTTTCTAAGCGTATATTAATAACGTTTTAAGTAGCTTAGTTAATACTATTTATATTGTATACTTAGATAATATTTTAATATATAATAATAACTACGTAGTATATAAAGAGTACGTACGTAGCGTACTATAAAGACTATAGTAATAGAACTTATATTTAAACGGTAGTAAATACGAGTTTTATATATTATATATAAGATTCTTAAGGTATATTATATTTAATAAAGGCATAGAAATAGAACCTGCGCATACCGAAGCTATAGCAAATTAGCTACTTCTAAAGAGCGTTAAAAATATATAAACGTTTTTTAAATTTATAAAGTTTTATTATAAATTTATTAGTAATTATACTAAGATAACTATACCTCTAATAGACTTATTAAGGAAGGTAAAGCTAGGATAGTTAGAGTTATTAATATTTATTATAGAGTTATTTAAAAGGCTACTAATAGTATTTATTAATATACTAATATTATAATATTTTAATTTTATTCTACTTACGTAGTTATAAATAAATACTTTAGCTCGAGCTATTAGCTTAGTAATTATATAATTATTTAAGGGTAATTAGTACTTAATTATTTATAAATTAAAAAAATTAATAAATATAGAGAGCTATTATAATATAAGTAATATAGAGTTACTAGTTATTATAAATATACTAAGAAACTAGCGATATTACTTTATTTATAATTAAGATTAGGTCATAATATTTATAAACTATTTTAATTTATAGTTTTTAAATATTAAGAAGAGGTTAAATAGAAAATAGTTATACTAGCTAGATAAACTCGTAGTGTTTAATATTAAGATTAAGTTTAAATTAAGTATTAAGAACTTAGTAAATAGATTATTATAAAGACCTAATTATAATAAAAGTAGTAATAATAATAGAGCGGAGGAGCTATTATTAAAAATAAAAAAAGACTTATATAATATAGGAAATATATAAAAACCCTTTAAAATTATAATAATAAGGTATATAAGAATAAGCTATAAGAGCAGCTCTTAAATAAAAGGGATAGTAAGTATTTTAAAAATAGAACTAATAATAGTATAAAAAAGTAAATAAAAGAGGTTAGGAGCTCTAGTTTAAGGGAGCTCTAAAAAGTACTTCGAGAAATATAATAAGGCTATAAGCTTAGGGTATTAGAGTTATAGTATAGTACTTAGGGAGCTATTTAAGCTTATTATTAGAACTATAAATTACGAGCTACTCATTTTATAGGACTTTAACATAATAAGAGTACCTAAAATAGTATTTAGTAAGGAGGGGTTATTAATAATAAATTAATTATAGGTTATTTAATAAGAGGACGCTTTTATAAAGGATAAGTAGTAAATTAAGAGGAACTAATAGCCTCGCTTAGTTAAGAAGAAGTAGTAATAGAGCTAGGTATATGATTTAAGAGGGCTATTATATTATAGTAGTTACGTTTATATATTACTATATAAGGGGCTAAAGAGAGAGGTTATTAAAGTATATTATAATATACTTATAATAGGATATTATAGTATAAAGTAAATAATAGTACTACTAAAACGCTATTATTATTAAAATAGAGTGAGTAGGGATATAAAAAGTTATATTAATATTTATATAGTATATTAGTAGATAAAGCTTTGTTATTATAAGCTATATAGTTTATTATACCCCTTATTTACCCCGGTTAGGCTATAGTAAGAGATATTATTAGACTTTATTATAGGCTTATTTATATTAATTATACTAATCGGGAGGCGCCCTTACGATACGGTACTTATTATAGTAAATTAATTTACGAAATATAGTATTTATATTATTATAAGGACGACCCTTATAGCTTAGGGATTTATAAACCTCTTATTCATAAGGATTTTTATAAAGTTTAGAATATTTAAAGGGATCGTTTTTGATAGGGGCTTGTTATTTATAAGTAAGTTTTAGACTTATTTTTATTATTTCTTAGTAATAAAGAGGCGTTTTAATATTACGTTTTATTTATAAACGGATAGTTAAATAGAATAGTAAAACTAATATTTAGAGTAGTACTTTTGCTATTTTTATACCTAAGATTAATTAAATTAGGCATAGCATCTTTACTTAGCTAAGTTTATATATAATAATACTTAGTACTTAGTAATTTATAAAGCGCTTATTAAGGCCTTATTTAAGTTCTTATTTACTTATTTTATATCGATTTTAATAAGGACTTAAAATAGTATATAGAATATTTTAGCTAAGGAGCGTACGGCCTAATTACGAACTAATTAAAAAGCTTTATAACTTTTTATATAAAAAGTATACAAAATATATAAATAATAAGTTAATAAAACTAAGATAAATATATTATATAAAGTAGGTAATTAGGTATTATTATTAAAAAAGAATATTAAAAAGTAGTACCTTAATTAGAAGTTAATTAATAAGTATTTAGGGCTATTCGAAATTAAATTAATAATTAGAACGGTAGGGGTTACTTATTAACTAAACGTACTAACGTAGTATAGAATATACAATATATTTTATATATCCTTATTTAAACCTTATTAATATTATAAAGAAGCCCCTTAGAAGCCCTTATTTATTAGGGATATAAATAGGGAGCTATTTTACGAAATAAAAGATATTATATAATATAAAGGGCTAAAGAGGAGGTAATAATACTTAATTAGGTAGAGGGAATATAATAATAACGAAAATATATAGGAGCTAGCTAAGTATATTAAAAACGTAATATTAATTAGGATATATAAAAAACGAGTTTTAATTAAGTAGCGCGCCCTAGCTCTTAATAAGCTTAATAATATAGCAAACTAGTTATTAATAATAAAAAAAAGGGGTTATATAGTTATAACTAAGTAATATAAATATAATAACTTTAATATAGCTTTTTTAATCCTTAGGACCTATAAGAGGACTACCCTTATATATAGAGGGGCTACCCTTATCCTTATCCTCGGGATTATTAAAGAAGAAATAGTTATTTTATTATTAACAAATTTATAAATAATTAGTTATAAATATAGAGCATAGGTAGGGCAATTATACTGCTTTTAGAATATTATTTAAATAGTATATTTTATTATAAATAGTATATAGTAGTGCGATTATTATATTATTATAAAATAAAGACGTAGCGCGGGAGAAGCTTATAGCTACTTTATTATTATTATTATTAATAATAGGGGTAGAATAGGCCTTTTTATTAGTACGCTTAAGCGCTTTTTATATATTATTAATAGCGATTTTATAAGTTTATTAGAGTTATAAAATAATATTAGCGACCTAAGTAGTAATAATAATAAAGTAATAATAGAATAATAAACTTCTAAATTATAAATATTATTATTTAAAGTAAGAGCGGTACTCTAAAGGGTTTATATTATAAATTTTATAAACTTAGGGATTTAAAATATTATTAGTTAATACATAAGAAAAGTAATAGAATAGCAATAGTACTAAGCGCTTACTATATTTTTATAAGAATAGTTTTATATAATATATTTTATATAACACGCGCTAGATTTTAAAAAAGTATTAAATAAAAGAGCAGATTAGGAGCTATAAATTACTAACTTAGTTAATTATAGTACTTAATTTTTAAATTAAGCGCTTTATACGTAACGTAAGCGGGGTAGGGGAGTAGGCATATTTAGCTAATTACGATTTTCTTAGCGTTTACTTTCTTTTTCTTTTTAATAAGAGTTTATAATAGTTAATATAAGTAGTATATAAGTAGTAATATATATACGAAGTTAGGGTAAGTAAAGGGGATATTAAGTTTCTTAGGTAGATAGCTATTACTACTATTACTAACTATATCTATAGTACTAATAACTAGTTTATTACTAATTATAATAACGCTATTAAAAAGAGCTATGTTTATATTATAATAAAATTAGTAACGAATATAGTATAACTTTAGAAAAGACTAATTTAAATACGGGGAATATAAAAGATTAGGGAATTTAAAAAATATTTATTAATTATAAAATTTATATAACGAGGAAATAGTATAAATATTAATAAAAGCGAGAGACTATATATAATTAGGATAATTATAGATAAAAAGAAAAGAAAAATTAAAAATCGTAGTATTTTAAAAAGGGGTTAATATTAATAAATAAAAATAGGGTAACGACTATTTAAATACTAGTAGTTATAAAAAACGGATTATAAATAAGAGCGATCTAAGTATAAAATTATAGGGCTAATTAAATTTATTATTTAAAATAAGGGGTTTATATTTAAGCTAATAAGCGCCGCTTTTATCTACCCTCGTACTATATATTAAAAAATTTTATAAATAAGGGATTAATATAGCATATATAAACTATAAATAGCCTTTAGGATAAAGCCTAGGGGAGGGAGTACCCCATTAAGCCTTACTAATTAAACCTCGTTAGTTAAGGAATAGCTTAAGGGGTATAAGGGGGGAGACTAAGTAATAAAGGAATAGCTTAAGTATATATAGAGCGCTAGTAATATACTTCGAGAGAAGGGTAGATTTTAGTAATTTACCTTAGGGACCCTAATAGCAGTTAGCCTCTATAAGCTTCTTCCCTATGTTATATACCTTTTGACACATGGCTTCGATTAATAGGGAAAGAGGATCTGATATTGTATGGCTCATGAGCTCACGTGGTCCTATGAAAGTATTGGCTAATATCCCGTAGCCATTGAAGTTGCGGAGGTCATTAGCGGCTTGTAAAAACGACTTGGTGCGAAGCCTCTTAGGTTTCAAATGGAGAGAGGGGCCTATTTGAACTAGGCCCTGATATAGATCATCGCTGCTGATCTCATTTATTCCGCACAGATAAAGGCGTTTCCTGGCTAGTACGTTTTCTTGGATCACCCATACTCTGTACCAGTACGGTCGGAGAAGTATGTCCCGAATCGCATCTGATTTAGATGCGAAAGCTATTGGGATCTCGGGTCTAGGCAGGGGAAGTATTATTGCGCGATTTAGTTCTGCGCACTTTTGTATAAACGGGAAAACCGAATCGTCATTTGTAGATGGTCCGAGCCAGCACAGGACTTCCCGAGCCTCTGAGTAGATGCGTGCCATGAGTGAAATCTGATGGCTCTTTTCGGAAGTGTCTCTCTGGTTCACGCATATTGCGTCCACCCATAGAAAGGACTTATTCGGTTTCGATCGCAAGACTTTCAGGGCAGCGTGGAGATTATAGGTGACACTGAACCGAAGACCATTGAGAAGTATAGGCGTGGTGTGGTTCTCATCGCCCCATGCGTATGAGAGAGCTCTGAAACGAGGTGCTTTATTCAAGTTCTTGGTGTAGAGATTGACTTTTATAATGTCTTTGTTGTTCTTTGGTGATTCGATTCTAAGCAAACGGATTTGAGAGGAGTCACCTCGATCTAGTTTTCTTAAGATATGTCAGAATGCGACTTGTATCCCATATGCATTGTCTCCTCACTTGTAGGGGTTTTGGCCTTCCATGATGTCGAGATATGGAGGCGCCATTAAGTTGGTCTTGGCTTTAGAATCTCCGGATGCCATTTACAATCTGAGCCTGATGGCCTTTAGCACGTCATATGTACTCAAAGTAACGGCTAGGTCACCGTTGGGCATCCAGGCTGAGAGCCCAGCTGGTCTGCCTTGGGCTGGGCCACCAACCACTCATGCAGTCAAGCTGCACCAACTTCTGATTCTCAAATTGATAGGCTGAGCCCCGCACACCACGAATTTATTCTCCTTTGGGAAGAGGATTGTGTTTAAATTAGGTAGGTTTTAAGGTCTCAAAGGTCTTTTGGACTGCGACCTATACAAAATCTAAGTATGTACACTTTGGCAAGAGAATATGGAAGCAAAGAAGCACTCTCCTTCGAAAGTATTCACGCTTGCTCCCTGTACAGACTTAGCACGCTCTTCTCAGCAAAGAACCACAGTCTCCCAACGAGGATTACAGTCCCTCCACTGGCTAAGCCACACGTATCCCACCCCAACCCTCCTCGCAACAAACGGCATACATGGCACCCTCTCAACAAGCATGACATTAAACCGCCACATCTCATGAAACTGCCCCTCGATAAACGCCCACTCATTGCTCTCGCTGACCTCAGTGTCAACAGAAGCACTAATAACGATGAAATCGAGCAACATCCTCCGATCCCTCGCTCCTTTTCGTCCTGAAATCCAACGGGTGTCCATCTTATCCAGATACCCAACATGTCTCCCCATCATATCCAGAATCTCTGCATTCTCACAGTCACCCCTCCTCGCGCCCATCATCCTCCGATCCCTCCCGACTCGGAGCGAGGCAACAGTCGTGTTGAACACCAGCGCCCCCGGTAAGCCAGCGGCTACCTCGATGGCCTCCGGATCGAGCTCCACGTGCGCGAGAGCCTCCCAAGGGCTGTGCGGACACTCCCGCCACATGGCAATGTACTTCTCGTTCGTCTCCTCAGAGACATTGAACTTGCCGCCGGCCATCTTTCTCTGCAAGGGCGGCAGCTTCTCGATCCCGCTCATCCTAGCCAGTTGCATACAGCTGCCCAGCCACCTCTCCGTCACCTTGACTTTACGCAGTCCATTGCCGTCGTCTTCATGCCTTGAGGAGACGCGTCTGGCATCGTATACGTGAAACTGCACCAGCGTCACGATACGCACGAGCTTGGTATCGTATAGTCTCGCATCACCGTGAATCCACCGATAACTCGCGGCACTCCCTCCCTCAACCGATGACCATGCCGCCCAACTCCAACTCGGTATCCTCAAGTCCGCATCATCTCGACGTCGGACGGCGCCCGTGTGGCTCCACATGAGCGTTTGAGGGAGGTACATGTCCGGCAGGCCGAACGTCATCTTCGTGCGCATGGATTCGCCTACGGCGTTGCCGACGCCCGCGAAGGCGTTGAGGATGTCTGTTTCGCGAGAGAGCTGTCGCGAGGTATAATCTTCGACCCATTGGCAATAGTTTGCTAGTGATACTTGGCCGCGTAACTTGACTGGTGCGTCTTTGCTGTGAAGCGCTCGGCGATAGAAGCCGGGGATGCTGGGCATGCGGAACGGTTTCTTCTCGGTATTTGATTCGTCGATGTCTTCTTGAGCTGTATGATGAGCTTCTGAATCGTGTTCATCGATGGACTCTTCCGCTTGGGGTGGATCTGCTTCCTTACTGAACACGATTGTAGGAACTTCGTGTCGTCCTCGCCCCCAGGTAAGTTCCTCGGCGCCGTGACCCCGACAGCATTGAAACAGAACCTGGTGCTCCGTGATGAAGATGCTGCGCCTGGAAAGTAGTCTCTCTTGGAATGTCCATCCTCTTCGGTTCCACAGAGACGCGTCGACTACTGTTTGCAGACCGTTCGGGTCAATACCCTTCCCAACGTTCCGGTTCCGTGGCGGGCACCATAAGGAGGCGCGAGGCTTCCTAGGGTTGCCAGCATATCCAGGAAACCCATTACCCTGTCGGTCATTCAGCGCGGCCAGGATCGAGAAAGACGCAGACTGGTAGATCCGGTCCATGCCGTCTATCTGGTCGGGCTTCGATCGCTCGTCATCCTGGACAATACAAAGACGGTCCACCCATAGATAGCTCTCTCCGAGATCCCTGCAAAGAGATATCGCTTCTAAAATGATGCGCGGTAGCTTGATAGACTTGAGGCTTCCCGGAGCTTCCAGGTCCTCTGCGTTGGTTGTCTCCAGTTGGGCATGTCCCGATGCCTGAGAGGCTTCCCACATGTAGCTAAGAGCAACGAAGCGGACCGGCCTTGACGGCTTGACAATCTTCATTCCATGAACATCGATGACCCTAAACCCGATGGGTAGATGATCTGTTGTCCTGTCAGAGTTCATGCGCACAGAGTCGAGCTGCCCATGGCCACTTACCAATCGACTTATACTTACTCACGCAGTGGTGGCCGTGAAGAATCTCGCAGCCATCAATCCAAACCTTCAATGTCTGAACGTCAAAATGTTCAGCCTCCCAACCTTCAATCGCCTGGAGTCTCTGAGGTTCGCCTGTTGAGTACCTGAAGAGAAATTGAGGCGTGACCGCAAAAGGAGATGAGAGCGAATCCGAAGCCCCCAGCTTCGACTTGTCTGGCACGGCACTCAGAGTCAATTCCAGAAACAACCTCACAGAAACTTCATCATCGGAAGAGGCGAACAACCGATACTTCTGGTCCTCAGCTAATCCCGAGTCAAGGAAGAAAGGGCCCTGGACTGTAACGAACAAGCAGGCTTCGGAGCAGTCATGTAACCAGTCATCTTCCCGCCGGCGCGCCTCGACAGCCGCGGCGATCGCGCAGCAAAAGAGACAATTTGACGATCGAAGTGAGATGTTCTCCAAAGAGACGTAGTGGTGTGCCTTGGATCCCAGGCCGGCAGCAAAGTCGGGGACGTCCCAATCCTGGCACCGCTCACATAGTCGTGGGTTGGGGTTGGTCTGTCTGCGCTTCTGTACGAGCTGCGCGACGCGTGGGAGGTTGGTGGCGGAGGCGAGGCCCCCGAATGAGACGGCTTCGGGTCTCTTGGTTCTTGGGAGCATTCAATAGATTGGAGATCGTAGTTGACGATATTCGGATCAGGCGAACGTTCGTTAGTGGAGTGGAGATGGTGCCGCAACAAAGGCTTATGTTGGCATATGCTGAATGGTGCGAAAGTTGCCACTTCAGAGTGTGAGAAGAATTGGAATGATAAGGCTTGATTTCGTTGGAGTTGCAACAGTTGTATAAGACAAAGGTTCAATGTTTAAGAGGGTTTTAAGAGGATGTTGGTGATGATGGAATCGTTTTGTACAACTGAGCGAGAAGGTGTGGGGTCAGCTGTTTCCTGAGCTACCAAACGGGATTTCGATTTGCTGACCAAGATGGCGCTGATTCCGCTACTACCTTAGCTTGAGACTAAATCAACCATGACGACGTGCTTGTCTCGTCTTAGCGAAGGCAAAGCGATTAAAATCAATCGACATACGCGAATGTATACTAATTGGCGATGGTGGTTCATTCGGTCTGTTGTGGAATCGGCTGAGTAAACGTCGGAGCATTTTGCACGGAAGAGGAGGACACCGGAGGGTGGACTGAAGACAAACAATCATATACGATGAACAACCGAGTCAAGGCCTCTTCGACAGCATGGCAAGCCCAAAGATAGACCTCTTGCATTCCGTTGAACTCCCACCCTATGCCCCATGGCCAGCGACCTTCCTATTGTACATAATTTGACATCTCCACGCTCTGTTTCTTTTTTCGACTTTCCGCTGCAACCCATGGATTGCGTACTGAGTTTTCCAAGGAGAATCCCTTTCCCCTTTACCGTTAATTTCGTATACATGGCCAGACAGTGTAGGAGACGGTCTGCTGCGTGTAGTCTTCCAGACCCTTAGACCCCATCCTGTATCAGGGTCATAGACCGGCTGGAAGACCACACACTTGTAATTAATAATTTGTAGGTAACGAACGTGGAGTGTGCCGTAATGCTGCACATCACTGAAGGGTGATGAGACACGAGGAAAGACGTATTCTATACATGTAAGAAGGTTATAGGAAATGAACCGCGTAGTAGACATTGGCTTCGTTGATCATGCATAGAAAGCCTCGAAGAAGTAGATGAATCCGAACACCAGGAAAGCAACAGCGCCACCAACCGTAACTGTGATATATTAGCTAGGAGCTTGTGGCGTAGATGTCATGACAACTTACCAACTTTGAGACTGACACGGCCTGCGATGGCGCGGCCGCCAATAACGGCAGCACCTGTGCAGATGCAGTGGCCGACCATGGCACCAAGAATAACCCACCAGTAGTCCTGTCCTGCAGCCATGGCAATCGTTGCGATCTGACTGCGGTCGCCCCATTCACCCAGGAAAGTCATGACAAACGTTTGGACCCAAGCAGGGCTGAGAAGAAGACCGAGGAGGTTGTTCAGACCGTTAAGAGAGCCTCTGATGCCACCGGAACCAGGAGAAGGGCTGCGAGGCGGCGAAGAGGAAGGCGAGCGCGGGGGCGAGGGGAAACGGCTCTTAGACCTAGACTTCCTGCTGCCGTTAAGGCCCATTTCCAGCGCGTAGGGAGACACCGCAGAGCCCCGTCTCTTACCCTCCTTCTCCTTCTCGGCTAACTCGCGCTCAACCTCGTGTAGCTCGGCAGTCACACCCTCATTAGGGTCCATGCCCAAACCTTCACGAAGGAGCTTGGCGCCAAAGACGAAGAACAGACCAGCAGCGAGGAAGCTGGTGACACGCTTGGGGATCAAAGTCGGGACAGCGTGACCGAGAACGGCCGACAGGACCGTCATAACCAAAAGAGCACCAAAGGCGGCGGAGAAAACGACCATCCGATCATGCTTCATGGCCATGAGGGCAGCCACAAGGAACGTCTTGTCGCCAACTTCGGAGACGAGAATCATGGTGAGAGACAGGACGA